CTCTCTCTCTCTCTCTCTCTCTCTCTCTCTCTCTCTCTCTCTCTCTCACGCACACACGACTGGGGTGGGGGGGTAAGAAACCAGCAAGCAAACAAGTATTGTATGCAGTGGCAAATTATGTGACAAATGTCATATCAAGGTTGGCCCCTAATGAAAGAAACAATATTTTTGTGTGTTTAAATGGGAAGCTCAGAATGCATTTCCTTCTGTATAATGATAACCAACATAAATTGTGTGTAGGAAAGGCATTGATCCCTTAAGCATTAAAGGACTGGATTTTTAAAGGCGTTCCAGAAGCCAAGCAGTGGGGGTTGATCTAAAGGCCTGAACATCATACCTCTCCTTGGGCTTCATTAATCTGCAATGCTGCCCATATCCTTCTTCTGAACTCTCTCATGACAGGGAGCATCATCGGAATTGCTGCTCCACAGACAGGAATCTACTGAAGGAGCAGCACAAAGCCCACTATTTATTTATGTATTTATTTGTTAGATTTATATGCTGCCTTTTTTCCTTTCAAGGAACTCAAGGTGTCTTACATCATTCTCCTCCTCCACTGCTGAATTGCCTCAATTGTTTTACTGTTTATGCACTACCTTTCTTCTATAAGGCCTCCAAGGAGCACAACGATAAAGTCCCCATGCAATAAAACATCACAACCAAAACCGCACTAGCAGTTTTAAAAAGACAGCACAAACAAAAAGATCAGGCCAGTAGCAGCTCCAGACAGCAGGGCAAATGCACTAAATTAAAGTGCAGAGTGCCAAGGCTGGCAGAGTTATTCTAAGGAAGGAGAAACTCACAAGTGCCCCATCCTTCCCCTGGCAATCAACGTGCAGCAACTAACAGAAAAACTGGTGCCCTCTCATGACAACCCAAATCTGCTGTTGTCTCCTACAAGGAGATACAAGATGAATTTGTACACGCGTCCCTGGGGAAGAGCTTCTGTAAGTAAGCGGCAGCCACAATTAGGCCCTTTCCTCCAGCTATCTCACACACGGTATAAGATAACTTGTATTCATTTAATGTTATGCTGGTGGCCTACACATACTAGTAATTAGTGCAAATCAATCAGTGTTGCTGTATTCTCGAATATCACCATCCAGCTGGGCTCAGGTTATTTCTTTATTTCATTTTTATACCCCTCCCAATCGCAGAGACCCCCTAAATTAATGCAAAGTTAGATGCTATTTATCAGGCAGCATAGATAAGGGATCATGGGGATTTGGGGGTAAGAATACAGAACTTCTCGCATATTGGTAAAAAGTTGCAGAACAGGAAATAGTAGGTAGAAACAAATGGACTGCTTGCACAATGGTGGGAAGCGAGTAGCACAAAACTTCACAGCACCCGATCAGGGCCAGTGCTATTTAACTTGCTCACAAAGTGTTTGGGGCACAGGTGTTTGGAGTGGGAAAGCGACCAAGTTTGATGATGATAGCAAATTATTTGTGATTCTGGAAACCCAGGCAGATTGCAAATGATTCTCAAAGGATCTTCCCATACTGGGCGGACAAGCTCCAAAATGGCAACCGTGTGAGCAAGGGAGAAGCGATGTGCAGTGAGCTAAAAAGCATATTCCTAATTCTATGTACACATTGAAGGGATCTGAACTGGCAGCAGATGCCTAGGAGAGTGACCTTAAGCTTGTATGGGATAGCCCAGTGAAAAAGTGGTGAAGAGGCAAATCCTGTGCTCATGATTTTTTGGCAAGGAAAATTGAATGTAATTAAAATGGCTGCTCTCACAATGTTGCTACTTGCAAAGTTGCATCCGACCCATTGCGACCCCATGGACAACACTCCTCCAGGCCTTCCTGTCCTCCACCATCCCCCGGAGTCCACCTAAGCTCACACCGACTGCTTCAGTGACTCCATCTAGCCACCTCATCCTCTGCCTTCCCCTTCTTCTTTTGCCATCAATTATTCCCAGCATCAGGCTCTTCTCCAGTGAAAGGCTCTCATGATGCCATTATTTAAATTTATATTGGCTGCACCATCTCTCATTCATCTATATCTATCATCTATCTATATCAGAACTAGAAAAGTTGTGGAGAAGGAGAAGAAGGAGAAGAGATTTGATTTGGTTTATTAGATATATATCCTGCCCCATCAGCCATAAGGCTCCTTGGGCAGGTTACAAAGTTTAAAAATATACAATAAAATATAATTAAAAATAACATATAATATAACAATAAAATCTAACAATCCAACAAACCTAACATCCAACAAAACCACACCAATATAAAGTTTCTCAGACCCGTAATTTATCCAAGGACAGCGTGAAAGGCACAACAGCAATTATAATCAGGTAAGATACTAAGACAATTAAAATCATTCTAGCAATTAAAATATCAGGAAAATTTAAAGGGTTTTGCCTAGTGCTGGAAAGAGTACAAAGAGGGCACCAGGTGAATTCCTCTGAGGAGCTGGACCCAAAGTCAGGGTGCCACTGGTGAGAAGGGCCTTCTCCTCGTAGCCACCATCCTTATTTCCTGAGGAGGGAGCTCCTTGAGAAGGACCCCTGATGATGATCTAAGGGGTTGGGTAGGCACATGGGGGAAGAGGCGCCCATTTAGATACCCTGGTCCCAAGCCATTTAGGGCATTAAATAGCTAATTTTAAGGAAAAAATCTCCAAAGAGAGTGGACACAATTATATTTATTTATGTATTACAGTAAACGGTTAGCATTTCATGAGGAGAGCCAGCTGGAGCCAGAGGTCAAACTAGATGGCCCGGGAGACCCCTTCTGACTCACTCAGTTTCTATGTTCTATTACATTTATAAACTGCCCCATAGTCCATGGAGGTCACCGAGCAGTGTACAATATATACATCACCCAATATATGATAGAGGTTTATAAAATGAACATTGTGCAAGCAAGAGATAAAAAGCGACAATGACAACAATGATGATGATGATGATGACTACATGATAGAAAGGAATTTTGCTGCTTCTTTGATAATACTAGGACTCAGAGGTCCCCAAGAGTAATTTCAGGAGAGATGAAAGTAGATACATAATCCTTAAAACAGAAGCACAATTCACTTAGAGAATGAGTCAGATGCACGGAGACTAGCAATATCCACACCTACTAGCAGTAAGAGCCACCACAGATGTTGGGTGCTTCCAGATGGAGGACTCCTAGCACTCCTAGCCAAAAAGAACTGTGCCTCTTTTCTGCCTTTTCCTCCCTCAATGATTTTCCACCACAAGAAAAAGCAGGCAGAAGAATCAGTGCCAAAACATGGGAAGTAGGCAACAACGCTGTATGCTATTGTCCTGCCTCCTTCATAGACACGCAGCCTAAGACTCCATAACCGGGGCAGGGCAATGGCCCAACGAAAGCCTTGTTGAGAAGCACCCTTTCTCTCTGGATGGCAGTAGCTGGAGGGGGGCACATAGACTGGGGGTGTTGCCTTAACATGCCCCTTGTGGGCTTAGCAGAAGCACCTGGCTGGGCATTGCTGGTACAGGGCAACAGACTAGATGAAACACTGATCTGGTTAAGTAGCACTTTCTACCTTCTTTAAAAAATACCCTAGTCGGGTGCTTCCTTTGTGCCTTAGGTCCTGTGATCAGGGGCTGTGTGAAGCTGTCTTCACATGTTCACTTTCCAAAGACAGCAAGTCACTCCCAAGTTGGGGAAAGCAGGGGTGCTTTCTGTGTCTGCTGAGCTGCAGCCCTAGCTTCTGAGATCAGAGCACACCTCAGGAATCAGTGGAAATGCACACTGCTGTCTCAAGCTGGGCATACAAAAGCCCTGTATCGCCTTTTTCTGAGATGGATCGTGCCTCCAGTGTTGGGGCCGAGAGGGAAGAGGGGAGTCAGACTAGTTTCTAAACAACAAGAGAACACCAGGCAGGCTGGTCCTCTGTAGGCCATTTGGGTGAATATGTCAGTTTCACTTTTCAGAGTGACTGACATTGCTAGCCACTCAATGATCATTTAAGGGTCTTGTGTGAAATCCCCTTTCCTTCCCCCAAAATGCATTAATCTGAGCTCCCTTCCTTACTATTTGCTGGCAAGAGTGCGTCACACCTGAGTTGTCCTCTCTTGCCTTGAGAACAGAATAAAGTGTGGAAACATGGTCGCCTTAAGCCTCAAGTGCTCCTGACAAACTGGTCTTGGCTCCAGCAGAAGCTGGAAACTAGCGTAGCACAGAAAGCAGGAGTCAAAAGAAAGGGTTGATATGAATGGCTGCTGGAGAGATGCGCTAGCGTTGTACCGATATGTTGTCCCAAAGACTTTGAAAGGAATCTAAATAGAGCAGAAGAAACCCGGCACAGACAGAAACAAAGGAGCAGAACCAAACAAGAATGGAGAGGTACCTTTTCTGAGAGCCACTAGGGAAAGGGCCACTAGGAACACATCCAGCCAGTTCATCACCATGGTCTCTCATGAGTGCTCACTAAACAGCGGTGATCTTCACAGCTGGGGAAACGAAAAGGCCCAGCATGCTCTTCATCATGTTCTCCTGACGTTGTGCTTGGTTTTCATGCAGTAGTTCCTCTCACTCACTTGTGGTTTCAGTTGTCAGGAAACTGTCAGCATGCTCCTAGTCCTGGTGCCAACTCAAGCAAGCTGATAAATATGGCAAAATGACAGTGTGTGTCAAAATAAAATCCACGTGAAATTACCTTGAAGAGGATGATACTAAATAGCATCAGCCGAGTGCTAGAATGTCCACCATGACACCCAGGGAATTAATACACTTGGCAAACACCTTGGTCGTTATATACCATTTTTTGGTCTCCAAAATACGTGCTTTGTAGATGGCTTGTTTAAGTGCAAACTTTGGCTATTGGGTGGCTTAGAACCACAGTGAATAAATAATGATAAAATAATGTCATTTTGGCTTATTATTCAAATGCTCCATCTCTCCCTGGAGGCCTGGCCTTTAATGCAAACTATAGATACTGGTAATATAATTAGTGCACGTTCATACATTTTCATCTTTGAAATAGACATTACCACTACTTCACCACCAGAACAGCAATCTCACTCTACTAATACTTCCTAATTTCTTATCATAAGGCTCAATGAAAAACATGTCTTTTGTTGAAGAAAGTAGATGTTTGAAGATGAGGGAAAATGATTGGTTTCTAATCAGTCCTGGAACAGCATCAGGTCCTTAGGTGCTTCAGCAAATCAACCACAATCCTTTCTCATCAAGGCCCTTTGCTACTTGTGGTGAGCTTTGGACTGCACACACAGTGGTGTTTCATCTCTCTCATACCCAGATAAATCAAAAGGAACTGCATGAAAACAAAAGTATGTCACCACAGACAGACCTCTGCCTCTAGTCTTTGGCAGAGAAGAAACCTTTTTATACAGCTCCTATGAAGCTTTGAGATGCTGCCCCCCAATGGAGAACAGCCAGCACTACAGATACACGGACACACATTGGCTGGGCTGTAAAGCTGATGTAATATGGAAGACATACATCAACCTTCCCCAAACAGGCATCCTTCAGCTGTGTTGACCTTCAGCTCCTTTCCTCTCTAGCCTGTCCAGTGTCATGCTGTGTGGGCATGGTAGGAATTGTTGGCCAACACATCTGGCAGCTATCGAGGCTGATACATCTACCAAAAGGATATTGTAAGCCCAACTTTGCTCTTGAGCTGGCCAGATGTCAAAATAAAGCAACGGCAGGTTGTCCTCACTAATGGAACTTAAGTTTAGAAAAGCATCTGGGGACTGTGTTTGCTTCTAATGAAGTTAGCAATGTGGCTTCTCATGTGATGAGAAATACTGACAAGGCCTCCTCTTTTCTTGTTCTTCCATTGTAATCTTCGAAAGCAAACTCTTGTGGGGGGATGCTCATGCCACACATTTTGCTCACACGAACCGTGTGGTTCTTCCGCAGAAGCCACCTGCACACCCCCAAGACAAAACACGGAAGCACTTGTGCATCCACCTATGAATGCTTCCTATTCTATTTAGATCTATAAGGTTGAAAGCAGTGACATATGGCTCATTCCCACAGCACGTATCTAGGGACTCAGAGGAACTACTTTAGTCAAGTGACTCAGTGAACCAGCAGAACTCCACCTGGGCTTATAAAGCCTCTGGTTTTGGCTTGTTTCCCTAATATGAACAATTTAGTGTCAGGCAGAGACTCAGCTGCTATCAGACTTTGGGTACTTCCTGATGAAATATTCACTTCTTTATTCACTGACTATATGTATATCCTGCTGTCTGCTTTTTGCAAGGAACCCAGAGGGGCTTCACATGATCCTCCCCCTCCTCATCTCTGTTTCATCCTTATGGCAACCCTGTGAGGTGACTAAGGTTGGCTGGCACAAAAATGAGCTTCGTGTCCATGGAGGGACCATGTCCCAGTCCCAAGTCCTTGCCCCACCAAACTGCATCTTATTGTACCATTGCCTTGCCTCATTCATGGAATTTTACAGGGGGTCCAGGTAGCATTATCTTCAAATTGTAATTGTCCCATTTCCCACCTCTGCTTCTCCCATCTTTTTTCTTACTGTGGAAAATATGCTGTGAAGAGGAAGATGGAAGAGCTGTACAACACGCACTACTTGTTCATACCAAGACCCTTCTTCCTTGTGGAACCGCTCATCTGCCTTGCCTCTTCACCTTCTACCTAATCAATATCTGACTGCTTTCAAACCGCCGGCCTTGGCAACAGGCTACCAAGAAGGAAAACAGATTAAAGGAGACAATTGTTTTTGAAGAATTTGATAAAATTTGGGGATTCCTATGAGAAGACCTGGCATAGCAATTCCCTGTGAAAAAACATTGCCTTGATTTAGACAACATGATAAATTACACTCATGGGTTCATGTGACATGTTTTTGAACTGTGGGTTGTCGAAACACATGTTACCATGCGATGTGAACCCAAGTGTGCTAACAAGCCATGGTTTGTTACCACCCACCATCCTTTAACAAACCCATAGTTTGTTGCTGGATTGTGAAGTGCAGGTCTTTCACTATGGTTTGATATCTTGGTTGGATTCAGACAGCCTAATAATCCATGTTTCAACAACAAACCATGGTTCAACGACAATTCATACTCAGTTCTTGAGTCTGGATTATTTTGTTGTCTGAACCCAATCAGTGGGAGCTTTTCAGCAGCACAACAGACTGCCCTTGGACTAGTGTTGCAACGAGGCTCCACAGAATCCATCCCTCTTCAGTTCATGAACTTCCCATCCTGCTTGGTTCTGTCTTAGAAAGCAAGCCAAACCAAGAGGAAGTCCCTGAATATTCACGGAACCCCAGCTGTGCAACTGGCAACCTTCTTCCACCTCACATGCAGTGCAGACAAAGGCTGCAGATCATGTGTGCAGAAGAGGAATGCCACTTAGGCAGTGCTCATGCAGGGCTCAATTCCCAGACAGCACTGAGCAAATGGTTGGTGTGCTTACCGGGAAGGTGGACTCACAGCCCCAAGAAAATGGGCTGGAGCCCAGAGAGTGGAGCCCAGGGAGCCCAACTAGTGTCCATCCCTGAAACAGATTCGCTACTTTGGATCCATGTTCAACAACCCACATTCAGCCTGTGCTTATTACGTGCATGTGGGTTACCATGCTGTCTAAACCATTTACTGTGTTGGAATCTGTATTTCCTTGGAAGGTTATCTGTGGAGAGAAAAAAGAGGAAAATATGGGAGGGTTAAAAGATGCATACAATGACATTCTGGATTGCTGTAAAGTCTTGTGAATATGGCCAGCTGATTGTGTTATGAAAGCCACACCTGGAAGCATTCGGGATTGCAAATGGATTGAAAGTTTGAGACCTCCGTGCGACAACACACACAGTAGTAACAACATCAAGATTTTGTTTGGGTGGTGTGTTTGTCCAAATGCAGACGGGATGCACACGTCCAACCGTATTCCGGTGGGCATCTGTTACTGTGCAGTCAGTCCTGGGTTGCATATCTGCCTGATTCCTGCCTTTGTGAATTTGCCTGCCTTCAGTTACAGTTTGGTGCAATGTTAATTTGATGTGCTAGGTAATGCTGGCAGCGCACTGACCACAGGAGCAATGGTGACTTGGAGGGGTTCCGCACCATATTATTTAGAGAGAAATGATTTGTCAGGGTATCATTAACTCTGCTTGAGCCAGTACAGGAGCATAATTTTTGTGCTGGCAGAGATGGGGCTCCAGTCATATGCAAACACAATCTGTTGGGAGTGTATCAATCTTCCTGCCTGTACCTCTGCCAGTGAGAAGAAACAGCCGTTGCCAAATGAGGGTTTGGAATGCTGTCTCCCTGTCAGATGTTTCTCTCTTCATCTTTATGTGTTATTTAAATTAGTTCAGCAGGTGAATGCCAAGATCAAGATCAGGCAGCAAGTGAGTAACCAATATCCTTTGAGCTGCAATCAAATCCCACTTCATGCTTGCTTAATGCCCCTTATTTTCAAGGATTGCTCCTTATTGCAATACATCACAGTCATGGTTAAATAGCAGAACATAGGAAATGCCCTTTACATCAGGCGTGGCTCATCCTCACTTTCTGGGACTTTTGCCTTGCAACCTTCTCCTTGGTGTATTTTAGTGGCCACTTGTAAACACAAATGTAATAAGACAAAAGTACTCCAAGGCTTAGGGAGGCCATTCTTGATTAAATGACAGATACCAACTTGAAACTGCAGAAGTCCAATTCATCAAGTGATTCAGCTCTATTTCCTCTAGTTGAATAAGGCCATTTTTACAAAATCACAATGCATATGTTAATCAGCTCACCAGTGTGATGTTTGTCACCCAACAATATTTTGTGAATTTGGAACTGTTATGGTAATCATCACCATCTGCACTTTTTGCATGTAAATTCCCTTGGGCAACACAGTTTATATCCCTCCATGCCCTGCATCCACTTGTATTTATAGATCTGCCAGTTTGAAATTAACACTTCATGCATGTAATGAAGTGGACAGTGTCTCTGGAAGCTTATTACAGAATAAATGTGTGAATCTGTAAGATGGCAGAAAGCTCTTTATCATTTTTCCTGCAAAGCAAAAAAAAAAATGTTCATGAAAGATTATGCACAAATGTTATCAGTAAATTTGTAGGGCACAGTACTTGGGAATTTTTGAAGAAGGTAAAAATTTCAAAAGGCTCAGAAGTGATGAGATAAGCAAAGTACACCAAGTGAACCATACACAAATCATGCAATTTGAAGGCAATTTTATGTTATTAAAGAACTGTCATTATTGGTCAGTGATTAAATCAATTTGTGAAATGTTCAGAAGCAAGCAGAAAAAAGAGGCATATTCACCAAATTATCCAGAAACGGTTCCTTAAAAAGGAATACCTCAAAGGTACAGTCTCAGAAAGATAGGAGGCTCTTTCTGCCTCCATCTAGCTACATACGTCTTTCTCCCAAACAGCGACACCCCTGAAACAACTAAAAGTCTTTCATGCACAATTG